CAGCGACTTAAGACTGGTTTTGTGCTCCAGGGTCACATTTATGAATTGATGTGGATTGGGCCACTTTTCAACATTGGTATGATGGCCAAAAAGTGGCCCAACTTACCTGCGTTCACATATATGACATGATTTAATCTGAAAATTATGAACCTCTTAATAATCACTCAGTCTAGTGAAGGAAATAATAAAGAAGCGGCCACACAGGAGGTTCTGACGCTACTCTTTAATCATCACAGCTGCTCATCAGAAAACCTTCTTCAGGTACATCAGTGATTTCAGTGCATGCGTGACGAGCTCAGCTCCTCTCTGCTCTGCGGCTGGACATCGGGGGGTTTCCCAGAGAATTTGCACGCCGGAGGACATCAGGCCGTCCCCACCTGAGCACAGGCTTGAGGAACGGCCGTCACAGATCTGGGCTTCACCCTGCCAACATCCAGCCATCGACCAGAGAGGAGACGGGTGTCTACAAACACATGGGACGGAGATCGGATTCGATCCAAAAGGCTACAGGTACTTGGGAAGATCCTTTTCAACAACCTGATGGGACAAATAAAACATTGGATTTTATTTTTATTTAATCTTTAATTATTATACACTTGTGTATAATGAATAAAATAAACGTAATTGCTTATTTAATTTTTATAAAAAATTTTTTTTTTAAATAATAAATAAATAAAATTTAAAACAAATACAAATAAATTTAAAACAAACAAATAAATTTAATAAAATAAATAGTTTAATTCTGATAAATTACAGAAATTCATGTTTTTATAAAATTTTAAACAAATACAAATTAAATAAAAAAGAATGGTTTAATTTTTATAAATCTAAATTTTTTATACAATTTTAAACAAACACATTTAAATTTAAAACAAACACAAATAAATGTAATTGTTTAATTTTTTATAAATCTACCAAATTTGTTAAATTTTAAAAAAATGTAACATACACTATACAAATATTGTATACAATTTATTTAAATTTTCATAAATTTAATAAAATAATAAATTCATAATTTGAAACCAAAACAAACAAAATGTAATAAAATACATGTAATTATACATATTAAAAAAATATATATTTTTTTAAATATTTGAAACATATACATTAAATACATAAACAAATAGACTCTTTTCTCAAGTAAATTCTTAAATTCCACTTATTAAAGGATTATTTATTCCCCCTTATGCCGCTTCAAACCCATATGACTCTGAATGACATGAGGGTGAGTAAATGACGACACAATGTCATTTTTGGGTGAAATTATTCTTCATTGACTTACGCTTGGATCGTCCATCGGTCCGTACCTCTTCACGACCTGACCTTCTCTGTCAATGAGGAACTATGACAAAAACAAGTTTGGAGTTCACAATATTAGGGCAGAGAATAAATATGATCTATTAACATACAATAAAAAAAAAAAACAGTTACCTTAGTGAAATTCCACTTGATGTTGCTGTGAAAAAAAATAAAAAATAAAATAATAATAATAATACGTTCATCAAATTGAAAAGAAACACATTTATTGTCAAGTACAAATGTCAAATTCCATATTCAAGGATTACACAGTCCTGCATCTTAATAAAATATTTCTGCTGATCTGCATTAGAGAATAAGTGCCAAATATGAATACACAAACCAGTCAAACTCACTTTCCCAGAGTGCCTCTGCCTTTGGGCTGCTCTTTCATCCATTTCCAGAGCGGATGAGCTCCGTCGCCGTTCACCTCGATCTTACTGAAGAGCTGAAACTCTGCGTTGTAGCCTTCAGCAAACTCCTTGATCTCCGCCTCTGTCCCAGGCTCCTGTAAAACACACGACAGCTCGAGAACGCTGAAATCTGAATGTGACCAAAAGCCGCCTGGACAGAATAACACCGGTCTTAAAGCTGAAGAACATGAGAATATGACGACTCGAAATCAGAGAAGAATCAAGATACAGTGGTTGTGTATGGTTAATAATATGCAGGGAAGATCAGAGTCATTTGCAGTTCCGTATGCAAATATTGTGATGATGTCATCGCCGCTGGTTACATTCTGAACACTGAACATTCTATGGAAGTCAGACGGAGATTTTATTTGAACCTGAATCATAATGTTTGAGGAACATTGTAATATTAATAACCATAATAGCACCCAGTGTTTCATACATTAATTTCTTAAGCAAAATACATTCCTTGGCCTATTCTTATGAAGAAGAAAAAAAAAACCCAGATGCCAATTTTACTTTTGGCACAGCATCATGTGATGGAGCAATGCCTGAGCAAGCAGATGAGACATTAAATGTGTCTGAAAACTACAACTATTAAAAACATTTTTGGTCATTGAAATACAGCTGTAAAAAAACAAAAAAAAAAACAACAAAAAAAATTTAT